ACACACACACACACACACACACACACACACACACACACACACACACAGAACCATTAGGGTCACATATTATGAGCACTTGAACAGAAATCAATATTAAACGGCGGTATCAGTCAGGCTACGTTATCCTGCTCTAACTGCACCACTGAAGTAATCAAACTTTAATGATTTCATTTAATCGTAACATCGATACACTTTGTGTTGACACATGTTGAGTCAGAGAGCACGAACAATAATAAACTATTTCATATTGAGTTTTGTTTCTGTTTTTACATTTTTGAGACTAAATAACAGTGAAGAATTAAGTGACATATAATGGGCGCAGATGGGGATCCTTTAAGCTGCTGTAGGTGTGAGCGAAGGTCTATTGAACTTGTGTAGGAAAGAGGGAAAATGTTCCCTAGCAGTGGAGCGCGAGTTAAAACGTTTTGGAGGTAAATAACAGGCGTGGGATCTGATGCCTCTGTGCTGTGTTTAAGGAGATAGATTGGGAGTAAGGCCCCCCGAGTTGGAGGTAAGCATCCTGGGATGAGTTCCTAAAGCTCCTGTCCCTCTGGGTCACTGATGCTCAGACACGGCAGTCTTAAATCTAAGTATGTGTGCGGTGTTAAAGCTCTGTCAGTGAGATGAGTCCGGCACCTTGCTGGGAGCCCCCTCCGTGATCTTAACCAGCTGCCAGAGGACCGAGTAGTGGGAACACTGCAGGGCCTGGACGGCTATCTGCTCCGGCATGGAGCCCTGCTCGATGCCCGCCTTCAGCAGCCGGTAGCAGTTCCCGAATAAATCCCACCGCGTCAAGTCGTGCGCACTGAGTCAGAGAAACAAGAGGAAATAACATCAGATTTCATAGTAACTTCTGAGCCGACCAGCCCGACACGGATGCACAAAATAAGTAAGAAAGACGTAAAGAGAGAGTCTTACTTGTGGAAGGCTGTGAGTCTCTTGAGCGTAGATAAAACGTTGTAGATGTCGTCGTCGTCGGCCTCCTCCGCCTGCAGAAAAACAAACACCTGTTAGTAGACAAAGACTGGGGGTGTTGATGTTACATGTATGCGTCTCAACCACTAGGACACCTCATCACAAATACACCCGCACGCTTATCCAGTCCTGTATATATACCTCCTGAAGCAGCTCTTCGACGGAGTGCGCGAAGCGATCCGTCATCTCGTCGATGAGCTGCGAGCGGGCGATGTCCACGCGGTTCATGATGGTGTACTCCTCGGAGCAGAGGATGCTGTAGGTCTTACTGCAGGCCTCGAGCACGTCCATCTCGATGTGCTTCTCCACCACCAGCCGGATCTGCTTCAGCAAGGCGTCCAGGTGCTTCTCCATGCGCCCGGCGCTGTACACGTCCAGGTCAAAGAACTGAGGGATCTGCAGCAAGTTGGCTACCTTCTCCGAGTCGGCCTGGTACTGTGGCCAAGGAGCAGGAGAGAGGTGGGAATCAGACAAGGAAGACTCGTGGCATACAGAAAGAAAGCACACATACAGAGGCCAAAAAAAGAGAAAGACAGAGCTATCAATCAACTTTGTTTCTGTTTCCCAGTTAGTAAAACGATCGATTACATTTAAGTATTTGGCCAGCACACTTGTCCAGAGTGGCACATTTTCAATAACACTTCTCCCGACTATAAAAGTAACACCCCGATCAATAGTTTCGACAAACAGATCAGTCACCCCGGCCCCCTCATTAATCAGCTGGCCCTGTGCAGACTGCAGGCTGGAAGGTCTTACCTTGGACAGCAGCATGGGCAGAGCCATGATGAAGTGCTCCGTCAGTTTGTTCTTATCGTCTATCTGGGTCTTCCTCTCCTTCGCTGTCAGCACCTGGATGAGCAGACACACAACTCAAGGTGAAATGTAGTAGGTTTAAAAAATAAAAAAGGCGATAAAACAGTGCTTTTGGGTTCGATGGAATATTCTGTCATCTCATTATGATCTGGAAAGTTGTTAATGTGCAGCTTTGTCGGAGCAAAGTCGTGTAAATAACAGATTACAACTCCCACATCTAAATTGAGACACCTGCTCTCTCACCACATCAGTCTCACCTTCAACTAAACTCAAAGTCAAATGCTGAACGTATCGTGTGTGTGTGTGTGTGTACTTGACCGACCCTTTTGCCGGTGCCTCTGCCAACGGGTGGGTGTGCCTCTGCCGCCTGTCGGATGGTGCACACCATCAGCTCTATCAGAGCGCTCTCCTGTCTGTCTGACAACACTAGAGAAAGAGACGGACAGTGAGAGGGGGAGAGAGAAACAAATACGGAGACAAAAGAGAGAGGGAGTTTCAATGAACAACATTTCCTGACATCATCTCTTCTAGCTTGTTTTTGGCTGCGATGTCGTGCTTGATGTGAAGTATTTCATAGGCTTAGAGAGAGAGAGAGATCAAGATCAGTGTCTTACCCTCCTCCCCCTGCACAGGCTCCTCCGTCAGAAGTTCAGTCATACACTCCCAGTCTTTCAGCAGCTCCTGAGAGCTTTCCCACAACGAGTCCACCAGGTAGGCTGCATGCTCGTGCAGCTACGCACACAGAAAGACACTTTGTGAACTCTTACACCTCTGAAATCCACAACTTTTAATCAACCACGAATATGGTCACAATATTTTCACAATACAGGAGGTTCTTATGTATGTATAATTTGACATGTGTTGAATCATGTGTTACCTCACTCTCCAGAAAGAAGAGCACCAGCATGCGAATGAGATTTCCGTTGGGACTGCTCCTCCCTCGGCGCTTAGCCAGCGCTTCTTCTGCCTGTGGGTCATGGCGACTGAACAATCTGACAGAGCGAGAGAGAAAGAGTGAGTGAGAGAGAGAGAGAGAGAGAGAGAGAGAGAGAGAGAAGGAGGAAAAATGTAGAAACGGTGGGAAGACAGAAGCAGAGATTGAAAAAGAAGGAAAAACAGCGAGAGACGCTCATAAAAGACGCTCAGAACTGATTTAAGGTGAATTTGGGAAACCCTCGGGATGGACTGACTTTCTGTGCAGGAACTCTCCTGCAGCGACTGCCACTGGTCGGTGGGCCGAGTAAACTAGGTGGTAAACATTCTCACAGTCCTCATTGGATAAGGCGTCTTCACTGCCCCTGGAACAGATCATCAAAACCAGTTACACTCGACACAAAAAGAACCTCAGTGTCTGGAAGAGTACGGGAATCAAAAATATGAATGTTAGACAATTTTCGACTTTGTTCAGTTGGAAAAAAGGAGTTACATGAAACTATAAGTATTACATGTATGAAGGGATCTTTGTGCGACAAAGCGTGATGTTCATTCAAAGTAAACGGACTCTGTGAAAAGCATTGAAGTTACTCACTGCAGGATGAGAGTGACCAGTCTGATGGCCTCCACAGCCACGTCATACTCCTTATCCAGCGTCATCGATACAATGCGGTCCTGTCAAAACACATAGAATTCAGTGGGGAAAGAGCTGCAATAAATAAGCAGAAATGCAACAGAAATCATAAAATCTAAGGAATTAAAGGTCACGATTCATATTGTCATCCTTGCTGGCGTTACCTTGAAGCGGTTGGTGAACAGCTCTAACTTGGGGAACAGTTCTCGGTTTGTGTACAGGTTCTGCAGAGCCTTCAGGCACTTCAGACGCACCTCTCCTTGCTGGGGGGAGAGAGAGAGAGAGAGAGAAAGAGAGCGAGAGGCAGTTAAAAACAGGTGCTGGTGGCCTAAAGGTTTGTGTAAACATCATCAGACCCATTGAATCAATTCAGCAGTGGTGCACCGGAATGTGAAGAAAAAGATCAAACAAGCCTTGAAGAAATGTGAGAGAAACAACAACAACACAACAGGCGGGTGGTGGGACGACGGTGTGCTTACCCGATCGTGTAGTGTCCAACCGACGTATTTCAGGTAACTGTCGTTAAGAAAAGCATCACTGTACATCTTCATCCACACTCCGATCTCCTCGATACAGATGGCTCGGATTTCAGCAATGGCGTCCCTAGAAAACAAAACTCTTATTTTAAAATCAACACTATTATTATTCCCTTTTTAATAATGGTGATAATAAGAATACCATCTTATCCCCTTTTTATTGTAATACCTTATTATCTTAAATGTATGATCGTCTTGTTGTGGTTTTTATTCTACGCCTGTTGTATAAAATGTGCCATATGAACAAACTTGTACCTGTAGCGATGCACAAAGATTCCCTTGAAGATGGAGTTCATCATATTCTCTATTTCATCTTGGTTTTCTTGAAGCTGTAAAGACCAAAAAGTTTTAGTCAAGACCGAACATATTGACAAACATTTTGATACGTAGTGGAATATCCCAACAAGCTAAGCCGAGGAAACAGCTGTTACTCCTAATGAAAAGAACATACAAAACGACGTTAAGTTGAGCAATAATATCAGCTCTGTGCGTTAAAAGTTCTAGATTCTGATAGTTTATCTCAGCCCACCTCCTTCCTCTTCTGTAGCAGCAGCTCCAGCTTGTCATTGGCTCGTTTGCCGGCGATCTTGTTCCTCTCGGCCTCGTACTGCCTCTGCGTGTTGTCCTGGTGAATGCTCAGGTTCAGCGCCACGTTCACCAGCGCCGTCATCAGCTTCATCGCTATGCACAGACAAAAAGGGCCACATTTAAATGTCACTACCTGCTACTTGGAAGATGTAGCGCTCCAAGAACAAATACATGACCGGTGCCATCATTGATGTGCTGTACAAAGACATCTCATGGTAATGGTGAGGACTGTTGCAGTGCTCATAACGCTGGTGTGGTTACCCGCTAACGTGGAGGTGTGTCTGAAGGCTCGCACTTGAGAGTCCGACAGCCCGGTGAGGAGGGAGATCACCGTGTCCATCATGTACTCGTCGTAGATGATGCTGTACTGACACTGGCGGATCAAAACGCTGATGAACTCGCAGAAGTTGTAGCGGAACTTCTTCCACAAGGGCCCCGGCATAGTGAGAGGATAATCCCCGCTGTCCTGTGGACAGAGACACAGCGATCAGACGGACTTCAAACTGAAACACAGCTTCTTTAGACGGCCAACACATTCGCCTTGCTGATAAACAAGGCAGACACGGACCTCATCAAACTCTTCGGTCATCTTGCGGATGATCTCTGCGTTCTGCATGTTCCTGAACATCTCAATCCTCACAGTGCCTGGTCACAGAACAACGAGGACGGGATTTATGAATCAGAATGATGGATTTTATTAAACGATTGTTGTGGTTTCACCACGCTGCAGTAGTTTCACTCGTCTCACCTTTGCATCCCGAGCACTGGATGAAAAAATTGATGAGATCCAGCAGCGCCAAGTCTCTGTCCTGTTTATACGACTCGATCCACTCATCCACCACAGACTGTACAGACACACACAAAAGAAAACACACAAACAATTGAATGTATTTGATTGGACAATGCATATTGCAAAGCTTATATTTTGAATGTATGGACACACTACAGTTACCCACCTGCATAGCACTCTTGCCCAGTTTGACCACCTCGAACAGAGTGACGGGGTCTCCGCCGTCTCCGTTATGTTGAGCCACGCCGTTGGCTTTCCCTCGCCCTCTTGCTACGCCCACGGCCTTGTCCGCCGGTGACTTCCTTGGCTTCTTATTGGACGCCTGAAGGGGGACGGAGACGTCAGTAACAAAGAACTCCAAACAGCCGTGTTTACACACAGAAACACAGAAACAAACGGACTCATACCGGGGCTTGTTTTCCAGGCCTCCCTCTCTTCTTCTTGCCTTTCACCTCTGGATCTTCCATCTCAGCAATGCTCATACTTAAAGCCACGGCGTCTGTTGCCCCAGACTCATTGGAAGAGTCCCTGAGAGGAAAACACATGAAGACCCTCTTCACAAAAGTGAAAGTGTGCAAAGCAAACCCAAGTACTTATATCTGTGATGTATTTATGTAGACACAAATGTGAGTTATTGAGAAGTTTTAAACAAAGGTTTAGGTACAAGTTTCATTGAGGGCAACAGAAGGGTTACCGGTTACTGCTATCTGCAGTACAAAAGTACAAAGAGCACAACTTTGGAAGTATTTTGAAGCTTTTTCTACAGTACTGCAACTTTCTTTTTCTCTCAGTTGTGTGTTTCACTTACTGTAGGACGGGGAGCTCCGAGGTGATCATCCTGGTAAGTGCGGCCGGCGTTGAGGTGTGTGACTCTGTTGATGTGCGTCTTCAGGACCGAGTGTGTTTCAGGGCCAAAGATGGAGGCGGAAGAAAGAAACTTAGTTGTGGGGGGGGGGGAGGGGGGGGGGAGGGGACAAGTTCTGGAAGGGCGGGGAGGACGAGCTCCAGGACGGACTGCGTTCAACTCGCTGGCTCTTAACTCTCTTCAGCTCCTGGGAAGAAAACACAGAGAAAAGTATTATTAAAGCATCCCTGTGACACCGGTAACAATACATTATACAGGTGCTCTGTTGCAGATATAAATGTTGTGCAATAGTTAAGAACGTGCACATCAACACAAGATTTAGATCTTAAAAGGGAAAGTATCAAAGAGGTAATGAAGTGATCGCCTAAATTATGATTTATTAAGTGTCCCTCCAAACGTCCCTGAGGGCAGAGGGACGGTTCAAGCTTCCACTCAGGGTGTGGATGTGGAAATGGGGAGAGGACGACACCAACTGGACACGTTGAGAACTACAACAGCAAAATATTGTGGGACGTGTGGTGAGGGTTTGAACACAAGTGTTGTTAAACATTTACAGAAACACAAATTGAAAGTGTTACCATAGTGCTTAAACCAAGGGGGCTTTATTTATTAAATAATGAGTACGGTCGGCTTACAGTGTGACATTAGACCATTTTTAACTGTGTGAAAGCTGAATTGTACAGAAGGCAGAGAGGTGCTATGATGTAGTAAAACAGAGAAACATAAAAAAAAATGTTAAGACAAAAGCAGGAAATAAATATGATTTTAAGAAACACTTTCCAGAGTTGTGAAAATTCCCAGGTCCCACAAATAATGTCCACTCAATGAAACAATCCCAGGATGCCTTGCAGCCAGAGTGAAGACTGTCAGTCAGGAGACTGGCAGCTAAATTAAGGTTCAACATGAGTTATTTACCTGTTCATATTCTAATAAGGGCAAAGAGCAGAGGAGGAGCAATGCCGCACTCGGCCACAAGAGGCAGTGCGATCCACAAAGTGCTCTGGCCAAAGTCGATCTCCAAACTGCTTAATTGAGTTTTAAACTGAGGAAAGTGGGTCAGGAGAAAATCACCAGACACTCATTTAGCTCCCAGCTCAGTGCCAGTCCACTTCTGTTCACCTGTGACGTGCTTTAAGGGTGTATTATCCCCAGAGTGTGTGTGTGAGTGCACATGTGTGTGTTTGAAAGTAGGTCTGGGCAACAGTAGGGGGCAGGCTAAGAGAGTGTGTATTTAAATACGATCTTCAACACAGTGTTTGTACTGAGGAATAGCACGCACACACACACACAGTCATCTCTGCCCTCTCACACATACACACAGGTTGTCTTCTGCACCAGACTGTGAGTAAATGACTTCAATCGTTACGAGCACAGAGTCTATTTTTAGTGGAGACAGTGAAGTCAGTAATCCTGTATGATGTTTCGTTGGTTATAATAATATTTAATAAAATCACAAGTTGCTCTACTTCCAAGCTCAAACTTCAAGAGGCAGAGCCCACAGAGGCAGCAGGGTGTTAATGGCCGGGATTTGACCCCCCTGCATACGTATGAGCTTCTGATTGATTGTGACACTTGATATTCCGGCTGCACAGATATTAAACCTACAAATAGGACGTAAAGGCGTCAGACTGCTGACATGGCTGCATGTATAAATGATGAAGGAAAGAATCCTGGACGTCTATGCAACAGCATTCAAATCACCTGGACGGACAAGGCTGCAATGTTACCTTGCATAATGTCACAATAAAAGATCCACCTGCTGTTTAAAGTCCGTATAATGTAACGTAAAGATGTCGTTCTGGAGCAAAGGCTGAAATCGAAGTAAATAAACTGAATACTTCCAAAACTAGCATAGCTCACACTGTGCTGTAAATCAGTTAAATTTAAAGGGATTTGGACTCATTATGTGAAAAACTTCATTTAGATGCTGGCATGTGATCAGCACTTGAAATTAGGGGAGAGAAACAGTGAAACTTAACACAGAATAAAAGGAATATGAACTCCTCAATATTCAGCCAGACACAGGCTGCTTGCAGGTTTCATCAACACAAATGTAAAAAGGTGAATAAAGATTCAAATAGCCTGAAAAAAATAACCTATAGAATCAGAAACCCTGAACAAGGACATTTGCCACAATGGAATAAATGGATTAAGAGAATCATAATTAAAGGATATTGAAATATTTAATAGTTTAATAGTTTTATTTCTATTTTTTACTATAAAATATATATAACATTACTATGAACATCATATGTAAACAATGTTAACCCTGCACTCCTGCAATAAGTAAATCTGTAGGACCATTAATCTACATAACAAATCATTGCAGCTGCGCGCACACACACACACACACACACACACACACACACACACACACACACACACAGAGTCCTTGAGGGACCGATTTTACAGTAACCATGGAATAGGTAGCCTGGGGGAGACTTTTCTGTACTCTACAAAGTCCGCCCTCTAAAGGCCAGGGGCACAATACAACACAAACACAGAATAAAAAAACACAGTGAAGGGTAAACAACGTGGAGACGGGGACACCTACGAAACGCCTGAGGGTCTGCACAGATTCCTGTCAAGAGCCAACTATGATGGAAAAACTGTTAAGATCTCCCTGGAGTGGAGACGTGGGAGGAGAACGACTGTAAAACTGGTTGTAACTGACCAAAGACACTGGTGTTAATGAATCATCACCTCATTTAGTCTTTGTCTAATCATCTTCATCAAGGATTTTAATTGGCGAGTTGATCCCCAGAGCTTGCCGTAGCTGAAAATAATCAAGATAGATATAGACAGTGAGATGATATTGCTCCTCCACTCGAAACCGGTAATCAGTGCTACTTTACAACCAATGCATAATAAGCAATCACTAAATGTAGGGAAGTGACTGGATAAAAGCCACAGTTTCATCCCTCAGGACTCCACAGACAGTCACATCTCAGCTGCTCGCTCTCATTTCTTTTACCCCGACATGCCTCTGTGTCCCTTTCATCATCAGATTATCTCTCTCCGAAGGGAACAGGGACTTCACTTGAAATCAACTCTTGTGTCACGTTTGCTTCTCAGAGGAAGAGTGTGTGTGTGAGAAAGCTGGGAGTCTGTCTGACCCGTTATCGACCAACAACTAAATAATCCTCGACGCACATTGGCTTTCTGCATCTCTCTCTCTCTCTCTCTCTCTCTCTCTCTCTCTCTCTCTCTCTCT